CTCTCCTCGGGTCTTCCCAAGTGGGCTTCCGGTTATCCCAGTTCACGGATTTACATGGCCACAGATACCCATGACCTGCTAGTTATCTGGTGCGACCATATTACAGGTACTGATCCCAACTGACCGATAGATAGCCATTGCCATAGTACTGGTTTCAAGGACTTATCTTGTGTTTGCACTGCCCAATGCCGGTTTGCATTCCTCCGTGTAACTCCAACATTGCACAGATGCCTGTATACACCAGTGTAATATAGGTGGTTTTCCAAATTTTCGTCATCCGTGGGCTTTGAACTCCCAACCTACCACTTGGAGGGTTGACAACTTATTCACTTCACTAAGTCACCACACCCTTTAATTTAAAAAATATATAAAATGTCATATATTAAAAAGGCATATTTTGACAATTTTTCAAAAATTGTTTTTATTTAATTTTTAAATAGATATATTTTTAATAAAAAAGTTTGCTATAAGTAACAAAAACTTTTTTTTTTTTTTGCTTTCACTAAGGTTATAGTTATTGGCAACTATTGTCTTTATTGTATTTTAATTATAGTTATATAACTTGTACAAAGTAAGTCTACAACTAGCTATACATACAACTTTTGGTTGTTTATTTTAAGTAGTCTGCTTGCATATCAGGTTCTATACTAGCTGTTATACTTGTAATCTACTAAAAGATTATCTATTTAAATACTTTGATCTCTATATTTATACTAACAAATAGCATACAAGTTTCTATATATCAAAGTACTGTCTAACCTAATCTTAATCTCTCTATCTGTATATTTGTTATGCTATTACACATTTTAAAATATATTATCTGACTATAGGACTTTAGAAAGCTCTTTTACTAACTAACTACTCACATTTAGTTTTTTGTTAACAGGATTTGTCCTTACAGAGTTCACTTAGATCCTAGCATCAACTTCATAGTATATCTCTAGTACTTATAATATATCTTTGCTTCTGACCTTAGACTCTCAATCCAGATAGGCTGAAAGAACTATAACCTGTTCCTAGTATCTTAGGATCTGATTTAAGACTGCTGATAGTCTAATTGGTGATATTTCTTATCTGAGATTCTTTCTTGACTGATTTCTTCTATATTGGTATTTGTTTCTTAGGTCTAGTCTTTACAATGGTGCTGTCAAAGATCTGTGCTATCTTTCTACTCAAGTCTTTCTAAGTGGGCTCTGGCATTTCAGTTTATAGATTTATATAGCTATGAAAACTTATCTTGGATTTGCACCATCTGATGCTAGTTTGCATTTCTTAATATAACTTCAATATTGCACAGATGCTCTATGATCTGCCAGTTATGCTGATATAATCATGTTACAGATATCTTATTCTAACTGATTGACAGAATGCTATTACTATAATACTGTTTATATATTACATAGGTGGTTATTCAAATTTTCACTGTCAGTAGGTTTTGAACTCACTACCTACTACTTGAAAGGTTGACAACTTATCCACTTCACTAAGTTGTATACCTCATAAGTAACAAAAACTAATTATATAATAAAAAAATCTATAAAATGAACTTAAAATAAAAAATTTTATATATGTTTCTATTTGAAGATTATTATTTAAATTTAATTTACTCAAAATTTGATAATTTGCAAAATAGGTCTTTTTAATATGAAACACTTCATATACTTAAATAAGAAATTTGCTTAAAAATTCTAAATAAAAAGATAATACTTTTAATAATATTATTTATAATAATTTTGATTTAAAAAAAAAATCTAAAAAGGTAATTTATATAAACAAGAATTTTTAAATAAAAGATAATATCAATCTGATTACTAATTAATTTAAATATGAAATTACATCATGTAAGGCTTACTAAATTAGAAGTATAAAAAGACTTTTAAAAGTAAATAAGAACTAATAAAGTTGTAAAAAAAGAATACTAAGATTATATAAAGACCACAAATATTAAAAACTAAATTAATTGTAAAATGTGATATGAAAGACTCTAATAGATTTATTTTTGAAAATAAAATAATTCTAAGATTTGAAACAAAGATCTGAATTATAAAGATATATTAACAAATATTTTCATAATCTAATTAAGTTAATATAAGAAGTACAAAATAAAATGTTTAAAATAAAACATTTAAACAAAAATTTTAGACATAACAATTAATAAGAAACCTTTAGGCAAACTTTTTAAATAGGCAATATAGAAAAGTTACATATATAACTAGTTGTACTCTTAATAAAATTAATAACCAAAAAGAGTTATCTTAACACCAAAAAAAAAACTCTCAAAATTTTGAAATCTTTTAATCTATATTAAGATTTATTTTTCAAGTAAATTATAAACATCTTAATTTTATTACTTGGTTCCTAATATACATATGTTGTAAATTATTTTATTTTTATTAATTCAAACTCAAACATGTTCTCAAACTTCAAACCAACCTTAGATTAAACTTAAAATAAAATTTGGATTTGGTTTAGATTCGATTATTTTATGTTTAAGTCTAAGTTCAAACTTTCTAAATTAATAAATTGGTTTTATTTTTGATCAAACCCAAACTCACGAATATCTTAAACTGTCAAAAGGAACAAATATTTCAATTTTCTATTACAATTTTTTTTTTTTACTATTTCCAAAATTTTTATATATAAACTCAGCTTGCTATATTTTACGTTTTTTTTTCAAAAAAAAAAAAATCTATTTTGATGATAAACGATAGAGCAATTTGATTGGATATTTATTCAGAATAATAATTTAGCGTTAGGACCTGATCTGGGACCAATTCGCAAACTGTATTATGTAATAGATCCAGGACCCGGATTGGACGTACTACATAACATTCAATTCTACTTTATAAACATAAAAACAGATATAATTAAAGCCAAGCAAGGAAGTAAACGATTGTATGATTTATTATCGTTATGTATTTTTATCGTTATAAATAGACTGCATTAGCAGTATCTATATGTATGCAGAACTTTTTTTTCCTGATTTAAAAGTGTGTGACAAAATAATTTGATCGAAATTAGAGTACAATGTTGTAGGTCAGCAATTGATAATCAAACATATATTGACATTTGATATCTTTTCTTTTTCGATACGTAAATCAAAAAAAAAAACAAAAAAACAAAATGGCGTTCTATCCTTTTGGTGGCGGTTCCTCACAACAGCAAACCGTAAATCCACAAAATGTTGCAATGGCTGAACAAGAATTAGAAATGATAACTGATACATTTTATAGGTAAGTATACAAAATTTTCATAATTCACATAAATAATTCAACTAAATTTGCAAATAATAGGATTGTTGACATGTGTTATAAAAAATGCATCCCACCAAAATATATCGATGGTGAATTAAATAAAGGCGAATCCGTTTGTATCGATCGTTGTGTTGCTAAATACTTTGAAGTTAATATGAAAATCGGAGAGGCATTACAAAAGAAGGGGCAACAGACTGGCGTGGGTGGTTCCGTTACGGGATTTGGCGCATAATCAATTACGTAATACTTATAAGCATTTATAGTTTTATACGTATAAAAGGGAAATATTTGCAAATGACTGTATTATTCTCGTCAAACAATGTTCATAATATTAAAAAACTATTTCATAATACATTCGTTGTGAAAACGACTTATAAATAATATTATTACCTATTACTATTTAATTAATTTGGTCATTGTTCTAATAGGCAATATACCTTAATATGATATGTTTATTCGATATGAAGAATATATGCATCAAGACAAACTGTTAAATTACTTACCTGGTCTTATCAAATTCAACAAAATACTAAAGAACCTTTTCTGTGTTTCGAAATATTATAGTTCTAGAGACAACACCAACTTTTATTAACAATTAAGAACGACGGTCAACATATCACCATCCTCCAAATCAGTATCTTCCAGTCTATCAGTAAAAGATAATGCTTCATCTTCAAACATTAGTTTCATCTCGACATTGTTCGGAATATCTCTGATTTTTTTGTAATGGTCAATAACAGCTTGTACTGTTAAAGTCTAATAATAACAAATTGTTATGTTGATTAGTAAATGAATAAATAAATTAGATAAGTAAAAAGGGCATAATACCTTTTTTATTTTCAACTTATCAATTGATTCATCCTTGCTCAACAGTTTCAGATGAAGGTAATCATTATCCGTTTTCTCTGTGTTACCAAAATCAGACTCATTTTGATCTTCAGAAAATAATTTTGATTCTCTCTCTATTTCCTCTAACATTCTATGTTTTAATAGGACACTCCGTTCCTTGTAATAATTATATGTATCTCTTGTGAATACCTCTAAAATATATACAAAATACGATTAATACAAATTTTTGAGAGGAAATTATGTATGATAAACACGTACCCATATGTGCTTGGCCAGACATTCCTAAGCTTTCCGGCGTGCTACGTGGAAATACTTTAACTTTTTTAAATGTCAACACAATATCTTGTTTCCCTATTCCTCTTTTTTCGCATATATTCTTTATCATTCGCTCGAAATTGTCTTGCTATAATCAAGTACAATGATGATATATGCTTAAATATATCGTACATGATTGTGATTTCTTTTCTTTTTAACGGTATGATAACAAATACACACCGCTTTCATAATAAATTTAATAGGCTTTTCGAATTCAGCCTGAACGGTTTTGTTCACATCCGCAGTTTGGATATCTGGATGACGAACGGGAAGTACTATTATTTCAACTTTAGTATCAACGTATCTGTTTGATTTTCCATATGGTTGCTTAATAGATTGTTGAATAGCTAAAAGTTCAGGATCTAACTCTATATCATCCTGTGGTTCATAGGATACGATTGGTGAACCGATGTCAGCACTTTCAGATCGAAGTCCTTCCGAATATTGAGAGAGAGTCGCTCTAATCGGGACTAGGTTCAGCAAAAAAAAAAAATTATAACGAGTCACTAAACCGAGAAGGATTACCTTAGTGTTCCAACCGTAGTTCTTAGTTGATATTCGTTAAGTTCAGGTGGTGGTGTTAAAGATGGTTCTCTATCAATTGGATCTAAAATCTCTTTTTTATCATTAGTTTTACTTATTTCCATGGGCTCATCTGAAAAATCTCTAAGAATTTTCAATAAAGTCACGTGAATTGGTTTCAGAATAACATACAAGTAATAAATTTTTTGTTTTACAATACTTACGAAAGGTCATTCGTATCAATGTCAATTGTATCGTCAGAAAATGTCCAATCCGACTTTAAAACCTTTTCCTTATGTCTTGAACGTTTAAATCGAGGACCTTTCTCATTATGTGTTGATAAATCATCGTCAAAATAATTTTCTTCTAATTCTTTAAGAATTTTTACGGGTTCTATGACACGTGAAATAAAAATGTAAAACAAAATATAAATCGAAAAATGATAAGATAAACACGAATACAAACTTATTTTTTTGGTGGACACGTTCCGAGTGAAAGAAGTAGATCGTGTAAAGAAGCCGTCCTCATCATCATAAGTTTTCGTTTTTTTCGGTTTGCTAGGTGAATCAGGTAAATCGGTATTATCTAATACCTGTTGTGCTTGTGTATTATCAGCTAGGGCTAATTCGGTGTGTCGTGGTTGCGATTTAATCGTTCGCGGCTTTATCTTAACAACTTGTCGTTTTATGACTATTTCTTCTTCGGACGAGGACATTTTGAAGCTAACGAAATTTATTCACAATAAAGAACGACTTATGAATGACAACTGGTGTGACAAACTAAAGTCCGATACTTCCGTCAGGGACAACACAATATAACGTGATCGGCAAACATGTTTTTCTGTTTGTTGATTGTCTACGTTTCGACAGTTCAGGTTGACCAAATTTGTGTTATCCGGCCCAAATTATACACTTAATTTTGCTCAAAGTGGTATTGTTACACCGCATTAAAAATTGCAAAAATATTGATTTGGCCTAAAAATATCGATATTTTTCATTGTCTGTCCCTGCCTTCCGTGATATACGCCGAGTAGTATAAAATCGGAAATTCAAATGCTTTCTTAACGAGAGTTATACATGGAACAAAAAACATTTCGTGACACTTGTTTTTAAATAATTACAGAAAATAAGATTATCTATAGAAATGCATAACAAATGAAATATATTTTTTTTCTCAGTTAAAAGCTAATCCTTCTAATTAAATTAAGATTTTCGGAAAATTCGAGTTGTACAAATTTTGAACACCAGTGTGACGTCTGATCAGTCATATAAATTTCCACGATTGTCCTCGACCGCAGTATTCATTTGACTTTACACGTAATACTCTTTTTCTTTTGTATATTCGTCTTGATCTAAATTCCTAGCAATTCCTCCTTCTTTCTTTTCTTTTCCTCTTTCATGTACTTATGTACTCCGCTGTCATTTAATTTTAATATATTTACAAATAAGCAAGCTGTTAAAAGTTAAGATAAAAATCTAGATCACCTACAACACCGACATTACCGACGATACAGACAATACCAACGACATTTTACAAGATGTTTGGTTATGTTTTATATGGAACCGTAAAGTAAGAATCATTCCTTTTATTATTATTTCAACATTTTGATAAATGATATTGAAGACTTATTCTTTGTAGCAATTTCGCAGGCTACTTATATCCGGCATATGCTTCCTTCAAAGCAATTAAAGCCAATAACACGAAAAATATAATGTCATGGTTAACTTACTGGATCGTCATGGCTTTGTTCTCAGTAGGGGAAGGAACTGCAGATAAATTTGTTTTTTGGTACGTTTAAGTTTTAAGATTGATTTATTTTGTTCAATGTTATGATAATCAAATGAATATCCCTTTCAGGTTGCCTTTTTATTACGAGATGAAGTTGATGTTCGTGCTGTGGTTGATCCTCCCGCAAACACAAGTAAAAAAAATTTTTTTTAAACAATATTCAGTTTAATACATTTCCTTGGTAATTGATTATACTAAAAATTGTTTAAATCGGTTACGATAGGGAGCTACGATTCTTTATGATTCGTTCGTTGTTCCAACCTTAACACGTCACGAGAAAGATATTGACACAGCATTAGGAATGGCACAAGAACAAGCAACAAATAGGGGGGCAGAGTTAAGCAAACAAGGACTAACTAAGTTGTACCAACTAGCTTCTGAAGGTCTTCTAAAGGTTAGTAACTATCATATAGTGTTAGATACAATGTTGGTCAATGATTTATATGACCTTATGACTGGTCATTTGGTCACCCAATGGCTTTAAGTGTACATTAGACTTTATAACAATAATAGACAAGTAATTAATTACGGATGATGCCGAAGATCCTACCAAAATTATGTAAATTATTTAGATTGGTTGGCCCGACTTATGCATTAAATAAAATGATAAGACGGTCATTTTCCAACATTGTAAATTGTTATAGATTTTTGGCTTTTCTTAAATTCATTCATCATTAACTTTTCTTAAATTCATTCATTCATTAACTTTTGTTAAATATGTAGACTGGGTTATATAACACGTCTGACACGTCTACTAGTCAAGCACCACACAATTCTAAGGAAAATAATCAAGAGAGTAGTTTAAGTTCTATATTATTTCGTAGAAACAATGCCTTATGATATATTTCATAGGAACTTTATAATATTTCAAATTGAAATAATAGATAGAAAACAGAATAAGACTAAAATGAATTCAATCACTTGTAATAATTTTTTTTTTCTAAAGTTAAAGAAACCACGTGACAAGTAAGAGTGAGAAAGCGAGATGAAATGGTAATATTCAGAATCTCCAGTTATATAAATGTTTTAATTTGTTGGTCGATCGAAATATTATTTGGTAGATGCATACTGTAACTTTCTTTGTGATTTATTAATAAAATTTCGAAGTGACCTATCATGTAGCTGTATTAACCAATTATATAAAAGCACTTAAACGAAAGACATCTGATTCGCGTGACGCTGCGCGGGGAAATTACAAGTTACGCAAACTATATATGTATTATAATAACAGTTTCCAAAACAAATTATTTGCAAAGGTGCAAAAGGACTAGCAGAGATCCATTCGATCATGCACTAATTTTGGTATAGGCAGTCCTCTCATTTTGTACAAACTCCTGTGGTGCATTACGTGCCGATTTAAATTTATAAAACCAGCTTTTTCTTGTATCAATATTTTAAATATTCGAAACTCGTCTTCCGAAAAAATTCTTCCTTAAAAAAAACTGTTCTTGTAAAAGAACATTCGTTATTTTTATAACGTGATACTCTTAGTAAGGGGAAGAAGAGATATAGATTTTTTTTCTTTACAATATTCTAAAATAAAAATCTTTTTCTAAAAAAAAAAATAAAAAAAACCCCCCAATTATCTCTATTCCCAAAAAACACACATTCTTTACATTCTTTACATCCTTTTTTATAGTAACTAAAATTCTTAAAATTTATTTAAATAATGTCGTTGCCTGGAGATTTTGTTAAAATCTGCGAGACAGTTGCTCTCACTGTGTGCCCACTCGTTGGGCGTCCGGAGGGTATTGAGCCAGAATGTTATTCAAGAAACGTTGAAATTGCTGGCACATTAATTTTCCAACCTGGTAAATGTTCTATATCTTTTACTTGTATGTTAAGCTGTTTCTAATCTAAATTTACAACTTAAATTTCTTCTTAAGCAACCATTATTATCCATGTCATCGCACTTGTCATGACTTCTATCATGATTTATCATATAAAATCAAAATATACAGCTGTTGGTTTGTATAATATTATAAAGGTTATTTTTATTTTAAAATGAGTTGTGAAGGCAATTAAGAACATTTAATATTTTTCATTTATATAGGTCGGAAAGAAATTGTCATGTTTTTTTATTTGTATATGATGGTCACCTTTATAGAATTATTACTTGTTTCCGGAATCGTTCCTGCTGCATCTGACGTTTATCCTGTAAGTTTCAATTTTAAAGTTTCAAGAATAAACTGGATAAATTTTAATATTCTAATACCGGGGGTTTCCTTTAGTATTTTGTTGCTGGCCACATTGGTCTTATCACAGCCACTTTTTGGTGTTTATTACTGAATGGATTCGTTGGTTTTCAATTTGCTGAAGATGGTACACCACTTTCACTTTGGGTAAGCTGAATTTAAAATTTTCTTATTATAAAATTTGTTAATTTTGTTTTATTCCAACGTTAATATAAAAAAAAAAACCATATTTTTTTTTAATAGTCAATTCGAATTTCCTCACTTGTAGTTTTTCTAGCTGTTTTTGGCCTTAGTATTGCTACATTTAAAAATTTAGCTGGTTTTACTTTTGACCATCCCCTAGCCTTATGGATTGTATTATACATTTTTAATGGCGCTGCACTTGCTATTTATTTCGTTCTTCAAATAGTTCTTGTTCTTAATACCCTCGATGATCGCTGGCCACTTGGTGATATTTTATTTGGTATTTCTTTCTATGTCATTGGCCAAGTTATCCTCTATCTATTCTCCGTTAAGATATGTGATACTGCTAAACATTATATCGATGGTCTATTCTTTGGAACAATCTGCACACTTTTAGGTGTGATGATGGTTTATAAATATTGGGACTCCATTACCAAGGAAGATCTTGAATTTTCCGTTGGAAGTAAACAAAATGTATGGGAAGTGAAAGAATTACTTGAAGATGAACAGGCTTACTCAAATTATCCTCCCCCACCATTACCACAAGGTGGATTCACTGGTTATCAACAACCACAAAGTGGTTATAATGCTTCTTATCCTCAGCAACAATATGGAGCATATTAAAAAATCTACATAACCTATAGATCGGATCAATTTCATAACTTGGGAACTTGTTACAACTAATTATTCCTATTGCAATATTTTATTAACGGACGGACATTACAGGAAATCAACCTGCATGTGTGAGGGCTAATAAGTTATTTATTAAAAGTTCTTTATAGGAAAATAATCACTGGTTGTTATTCCTTTGTATAAGAATCAACATATTAAAAAATTATTTTAATCCTGAAGATGTTTTTTTTTTTTTAAATTATAATTTATTTCAATGCTAATACAATTTATATATTTAATTGAAAATTGTTAAATATAAATTCAATAGACTGCAAACAATAAATGAGTAGGTTTAAGTGTAGGTTCATAGTTAATGATAGTAATAAATTCATGAAAAATTTTCTATAACTAGTCCATCCGTCTTTATGGTCTGTCTGATTCTTGGCACATGGATGCATTTACGTGTAACATATATTCCTTAAATATAGATCATGTGATCAATTTAGGATTTGATTGGTTTATATAAATAGAATGATCTTCTGATTGGTTTAATGTCACGTGATTGAATATCTTATTTTATAAACCAACACTAATGCTAATGTTAATTAATAATCGATATGTAGTGGACTATATTAACGCATAAAAAAATATTAAAAAATTAAATTTGTTAAATACGTACGACGAAGAATGCGAATTTCGCTTCACGTGCATGTACTTGATCCAAAGAAATATAAACCATACTCGTTAATTTTTCGATTTCATTTTAGATGCTATCTTTTTTTTTATATCGTAATTTTTTTTAAAATCGATCAAGAAAAACTATAAATATTAGAATTATTAGAAATTGATACATATTTACGTATTGTATATATTTACTTATGTTGTATGAGAATTTTTTTTAAATATAATTAAGAATTTTGGTATTTGTGTTACATTTTTAATCGTTAAAATCCACGTACAAAAAGCGGCTTGGCAAGGGGCCATAAAGTATCGGGTGTTCGAATTGCAAGTAATAATTTTCAATTAATTACGCACGTATGTACATACGCACTTACACATGTACTTAGTTTATCCAATTTTTCTTGACCAGTACTTTAATTGTCTGCTTGCATTTTACATTTTTATTGATTATCGGTCGAATTCTAGATTATATTAAAATATAACAAGAAACAAAATGATTGCATATATAGTTACTACAGTTACATATTAAATTTAAAATTTTGACTATATTTTTAGTACATGTTACTCAAAGTGTCTTGTGTAAACCCCGATATATGATTTTCTTTTAATTTCGTTTGATCGTTATCATTATATATATTTTTTTCAAACTTAAAATTTTCAACTTTGTATTTTTAAGAAGTTGACATATTTATAAATGTCAGGAGATATTTTTATTTATAATTTGATAATATATACAAATATATTTTTTTTTTATATTTACAATTTTGGTATAGTTGCACATAGAAAAGTTTCTTACAGCCCAATAACCAGGATTGAATAATTTATATACCGTGTAATTCTTATTAAATATGAACTTTTTATACGTATTCTGATCTGAGTTGCATTTCTCAATTTTATTTAACCCGTTTTTTTTTTACGATTTTTTTATTGATTATGAAATAATTCGTATATTAAGAAAATTACAACTGGTGATCATCACCAGTGATTTACAATAAAATTAAATTTTTATCAAAGCAAAAATCAAAAATTTTAATAGTACGAATCTAATTGTAACAATCTGTTACGCACTTATTTGTAACGTACAACCAATAAAAATAACAAAAAAATTCGTGTAGCCTAAACTCTATTATTGGCTAATACGAGGTTGTTACATGTAACAGGTTGTTACGAGAAGATTTATTCTTTTTAATATTTAAGGTAAAGGTTTATAAACTAGAACTAGAATAAAAGAAAGTTTATACTCAGAATATTTTTATTAAAATCTTCAAAGTAATAATCATCAGTAGCAAATCTTATTTAATAAATGTTAAAGATAATGTTAAAATTGGTTAAAGTTAAAAATTTAAGTGTTTTAATTTAAATCTATTCTTTAAACTGTTCAGTTTAGCTAGCAAATTTGATTGTTAAAATTTTTTACAAAATTTTAAACTTTGTTTCTGATTTATTTTTATCAAATTTTAAAAAATTTTTTAAAAAAAATTTTTAAATTAAAACTATAATTAAAGATTATATTTTAGTACTTTTAATTTTTAAATTATTATAAAAAAAATAAGTTGTTTATAAACTAAAAAAATATATAATTTTATAAAAATTGAAATTTTTGAAAAGTTTATTTTTAATATATAATAAATATTTTAAATTATTAAAAATGAGTATACTATATTTATAACAAAGATTATAAAACAAATCAAATTGTATACTTTTTTATTTTTATTTTTTTTCCTTAAACAGTTATATTAATATTTTATTAGGGTTTTTGAAACTACTTTGTAATTAAATAAAAATTCCTAACAACTAAGTTTAGCATTATCTGATTATCCTAATAGTACCTAAATGCAATTTATTGCATTATTTTAAGCAAAAGTAGACTGCTTGTATAACTACTTAAAGTCTATAATAAAAAATTTTTTTTTTATAACAAACTTCAATATTGTTTTTTTAACTTATTTCTTAATTTATTTTTTTTTTTTTTTATCTCTTGCTAATTTGTCTTTTTTTTACTTAAATTCTTTTTTTTTAAGATTTTTTTTATTTTATCTAAGGTAGATATGCTATATTTGGCATAGTTAAATATTACAATAAATATTACATGATTATTAATTATAATTAAACAATTTTGTTACCAATCAATTCATCTTATCAAGATGAATCGAATAGTTTAAAATTATTTAATTCTGATCATTAGATCATGAGATATCTTTATCTAAAAATTAATTAAAAAAATAAAAAAAATTTATTGCATAGTTTTAAATTGGTGCACTACAGAAATCTTATAATATCTCACAATCTTGTAATTAGAATCAAATAATTTTGGTATCATTCAATTTGTCATATAAAACAAATCGAATAATATTAGAATTATATAAATCTGATTGATATATTATAAGATATTGTTATTTAAATAAAATAATATAAATAACTATAATATGTCTAAAACAGATGTTTCTACTAAGTAAATTAACTTTAATATATTAAGTAAAGTTATTTGGCATTAAAAGTTCTATTTATATTTAAATTTTTAGAAAATTTAAATAACTTTTTATTAATTGATTTCTTTTTTTTGGTATTAAGGTAAAGCCTTGCTTATATTTTTATTGATAGTTTTTAAAGTTAGTAACTTCATGGAGTTACTATATACAAAAATAATTCTATATAAATGCTATAACTGAGGCTAATACTTACAGTTAGAGTTAACCATTAAACTGCTAACTATATATAACTAGCTTAAGTACAAATAAGAAGAAAATTACATTTAATAATAAAGCTCAGACATATTTATTAATGACCTAAATCTACTAGAGTGGTCAAGACTTATTTAGATTTGGATAGTTAAAATATAGTTAAATGAAATATTGTATTTGATCCAAAGAATAGTTCATATATTAATTTTTCTAATAGCATGACCAAAAAGTGGACATGTATTGAAGTTTGAGTGTATTTGGTTAGATAGTCTATATATAAATAAATATGTATATATTTGGCAGCTATATTTAGTTTGTTTATTATGAATAGTTTGGGTTAAGTATTTAGAAAAAGAAGGGTTAAGACCTTGTTGTTTTTTTCAATTTGAAAAGTTTATGCAATATGGTTTCCAGAGTAGTTTATAGTATAACTTATTGATTTCAAATAGTATTTTAATAATTGTTTGTAATGCTAATTTGTAAAGAATATTAAGGTTTTGAATTGTTTAAATTAGAAATTTGGGTATAAGTTCTTTAAGAATAATACTAAGATAAAATAAGTTTTTATTAAATAGTATTAGATAAAAGGTTTCATGGTTTTGGATTTTTTGAATAAGTTCTTTTTGCTAAAGTTTAGAGAAGTTTAAATTGCTTTAACTAATATGTTTAAAAGTAGTATCTTGGATAATACTAGTGTGTAATATTGAATTGAAACATATTTGCCAATGAGTTGATGAGTCAGATAAGTTGTAATGAAAGCAGTTTATATTATAGAAAGTGTATAAATATATTTTGTAATATAGGAAATATATATATAATTCATTTAGTAGAATTTTGATTTTAAAAAATTTGGAATAATTAAGTTTGAAGTTAGTTATATTATGTGTTGATTTTTGGTTATGATTAAAATATAACCAAATGGATTTTCAATCTATTTTTGAAATAAGTTGGTTCCATTCCTAGTTTCATTTTTGAATGACCATATTGTCAAGATGTAGACTTTGCAGATCTTTTTAATAAATGTTCTTGTAGAGTATTTTATAAAATATTGATCCCAGAATAGCAAGTAGTATAAGTTGTAGATATTGGTATAGTTAAAATATAAATTAGAAGAATGATTATATTGTTTAGCAAAAGAGTTAGCAAGGTTGTTCAGGTTATTATCAGTATAAGCTTGAACCTTATAAAAGTTGATTTGAAGGTTATAAGATTTAATGATATACAATAAGGTATGCTATATAGGTCATGTATTGAATTTAAAAAGTTTATTAGGATTGAAGCGTATAATATAAATGTTAGTGTATTTAGTAATAATAGATTAGGAATCTGTAAAGATATTAACTATTGCATTTTGGGATGTAGTAGAGATGGCTGAGAAGATAGTTATCAGTTCAGCTTTGTAAAATGATAGCTAAAAGTTAATTTTGGCAAAAAATTTGTGAATAATTTGGTTATTATTGTTAACTTAAACCCAGCCAATGCCCATTGTACATTCCCAGCCAATGCCCATTGTATATTGGTCAGTTCTGATGTTTTTTTTTTTTTTTTTTTTTTTTATTATATAATATCAAGTAGGAAAATAAAAATACATGAATATATCAATTGGATATTAATGTATAAC